GTGTGTGTGTGTGTGTGAGTGTGAGAGAGAGTGTGAATGTGTCTGTGTCTGCGTGTATGTGTTTGTCTGCGTGTGCATCCAGCGCTCCCGGCGCGCAGTGTGTGCGTGCTTGTGTGTTAGTGTGTGTGTCTCTGTGTTTGTGTGTCTCTGTGTGCACCCAGCGCTCCCGGCACGGAGTGAGTGTGTGGTGAGTGTGTGTGAGTGTATGTGCTTGTGTCTGTGCATCTCGTGCTGCCGGCACGGACTGTGTGTGTGTCTTTGTGTGCATCCAGTGCTCCCGGCATAGAGTGTGTGTGTGTGTGTGTGTGTGTGTGTGTGTGTGTCTCTGTGTCTGCGTATGTGTGTCTCTGTGTGCATCACGTGCTGCCAGCACGGAGTGTGAGTGTGTGTGTGTGTGCATCCAGTGCTCCCGGCATGGAGTGTGTGTGTGTGTGTCTGTGTCTGTGTGTTTGTGTCTGTGTGTGCATCCAGCGCTCGCGGCGCGGGAAGCGTCTGAGCGTTTCTGTCTGTGTCAGCCTGTGTGTGTCTGTGTCTCTTTGTATGTCTTTGTGCGCGTTTGTGTGTGCGCGTCCCGCGCTCCGGGCACAGCGTGTGTGCGGCCGGGAGCAGCCCCTGGCGCGGCGCGATGTGCTCCCAGGCTTCGCTCCTCTTCTCCCTCCTCCCCGCCCCTCTCCTGCCCTGCACTCCGAGCTTGTCCGCCTGAGACAGACAAACATGGATCTGCCGCTGATACTCCTGAGTTTTGTCTATTACTGGTGCAGGAATGGACTCCTAAGGGTCCTGCTCCCAGAGGTGCTGAAACTGGACCTCCCGCTGCTCTAGGATAGTTGATATTTCTGCTGCTTTTCTTCATTTATCAGTGAAGGTTTTCTTCATTTATCAGGGGAAGCCGTACAAGGAGGGATGGAGGTCACTTGTTTTGTTCAGCCTGGAGACGGAGGGGAGAGCTCATCGCTGTATACAACTTACTCCTAAGGGGAAGTGGAGAGGCAGACACTGATTTCTTCCCTCTGGTGGCCAGTGACATGGCCCAAGGGAATGGTCTGAAGTTGTGTCAGGGAAGGTCTAGGTTGGATATTAGAAAAAAGTTTTTTCATCCAGAGGGTGGTTGGTCACTGGAACAGCTCCCCAGGGCAGTGGTCACAGCACCAAGCCTGACAGAGCTCATAGAATCATAGAATCAACCGGGTTGGAAGAGACCTCAAAGATCATCGAGTCCGACCCTACTGCCGTTACTAGACCATGGTACTAAGTGCCACATCCAGTCTCATCTTGAAAACCTCCAGGGATGGTGAATCCACCAAGAGGCATTTGGACAATGCTCTCAGGCACATGGTGTGATTCTCAGGGATGTCCTGTGCAGGGCCAAGGGATTATTTCTTGCAGCTTCCAATTGCTCTGATCTCCCTCTAAAACTAGGTTTCATTCACCGTTTTATTATTTGATGATCTTTGTGGGTCCCTTCCAAGACTGAGTATTCTGTGATTCTATGAAGTTACACATGCTAGTACATATGCCAGAAGTACCTATGCAGAGCTATCTAAAGCTGGCTCTAAAGATGCCTCTGAGAACATACTTTATCCATTAGTGTCTTGAAAAGCAAGGTTCCCAAATGGTGTTTTCTCTGCTGGGGCAAGAAAAATGTCATTGGTGTCTGATTTTTGTAGTGTTTGTCCTTGCTTGGAGCATTGTCCCTGCTTAGAGCACTGTCCAACCAGCAGTAAGCAGGTGTTACTCACTTTGAAATGGAGGTGAAAAAAGATGAAAATGATGCACATTTTTAATTCTAAATATTTTAAGGAGGAGGAGGGGCATGATTTAGGAGACTTCTTTGCTATTAGAAAATATATAGAAATTGGGCATTTTCAACGAAAGAAAAAAATCTTTGCCTTTAAAAATATAGGAAAGATCTTGAAAAATGTACTTTTCTATCCATTAGTCTTTCTGCCACTTGTATTTCATACCTTTGTACTGATGACTCAGCCCTTCTCCAATCCATTTCTTTATCAAAGCAGTGTTTCCAAAGTGTTAAGAAAATTCATGATCCTTAAAGCCAATGTATCACAAACGATACCAAAGTTCACTACATTATGAAGATAAATATATTCCACGTGTAGATAACAGCTGAACTATTGGTCCTCTAACAACTAAGCATATAACCTGAAAAAGATCATTTTGCTTTGTTTCATTTCTGAAATTAGGATTCCCTGGATGAAGAAAAAAACCAAAACATGAAATGTATAATTTTCTGTGGTTTCTTGATGCTGAAAATGTTGTATATGTCATGATCAGTGTTATCTGTAACAGCATTTTATTAGCATCTGAAATACTTAGATGCAACATGTTTAATTTAATTGGTAAAAAAGTCAATATTTTTCCCATTCAATACTTCAAATTGGGATTTTTGCTTGGATTTCAGGATAATATGGAGACAATGTTTTTATTAGTTTTTTTTTAAAGAGCCATGTTCAAAATGAAAATCAATGTGCTTTAGAAAATAGTTTTGTGGGGGAAAAATATCAACAATTATAAAATACTATGATTTGTTTAAGGAGCCATCCTCACAGTGCCTAGCTGTGTTTAACAACACGATCACATATCTTCCTTCCTAAACCACAGTGTAATTTCTAAAATACTCTTTCTTCAGTGAAATCAAAGGAATTGCCAAAAGCAAACATGACACGTTTGATTCGCACATAAAACATGGATTTCCATAGAAACATAAACTTGATCTTTCCCAGATAAAATTTTATGACCTTCTCTTCTTTTTCTGAAGTAGTAGTGATGAACTTCTTTATGACCTTCTCTTCTTTTTCTGAAGAGCAGTGATGAACTTTAGCCTCGTATCTGATGTGACTGCTCTTTTTGGAGGCTTGTCAATGCTAGAGAACTCTTACTTTCTGCCTCGTAAAGAGAGCACAGTTTTCTAAGACATGGAGAACTTTTCAGGATGGATGAAACACGTAGAGAACTCTTACTTTCTGCCTCGTAACGAGAGCACAGTTTTCTAAAACATGGAGAACTTTTCAGGACGGATGAAACACCTCTATGGAGATACTCAGAAAGTCTCATGTGTGGTGTCCAGTGTATATGAAGATGCAATCCCCAAATGTTCAGCCATCACATCTGATCATGCCCACTGACCCTCTTTGGAAGTTTTCAAAATAAACAGCACTCATTTTCAGAAAAAAATTGAAGTGTGAGGTAAATCTGACCACACTTCTTGAACCAGATTATTTAAAATTCAAGACGGTGTTCTTATTTTGTTCAAATCAGAGACAACAAAGCATATCAGTATATTTGATCAGAGAACAGAATAAATGAATACAGTTTTTAAAAATTGCCTGTCTAAATTACTCAGGTATTTTTTCTCACACAAGAGAGAATGGGGTGAGTCAGTATAAATATTCCCATGCATTAAACTAGAGTAAGGCCTTGCCACTTTGCTCAGGGTGACAAAAAGCTGCTTGCACTTCATACACAGGTTATGCTCAAACCAGCATATGCTCTCTTCCATCCAGGTACTCTCCTCTTTCCTTATTTCTTACTTTAACATCCAGAAACTCTTCACCCCTCTTCCTTTGTCAGTGCTTTCAGCCTTTTTGTACTGAATAATAGTAATAGAAGGTGCTCGGAGAAGGGGGAGGGTTTTCATTTACTTATAGCCGAAGTTTAGAAACCAAACTCTTAATGCCTAGGTCAAGGAATCCCTCTTCCAAGTTTCCCACAAAGGCAAAGGTCAGACAGAGAAAGGTGCAGCCCCATGTCAGTTCAGAGCAGGGTCTAACAAGCAATCCAGGTGCTCTTGTGGTAACACCCATCCCTTCCGAAAACGAACATGCTTCCCGTCACAGGCTGGTGCTGAGGGTGCTGTGAATAGGATCTATGTTAAATATTTGTGATTAATTTCTTTCCTAGACTGTTTCTTCAGGCATCTTTGTTTTAACTTCCTCATATGAAAGCAGAATATTTTGTCTAACTACCATTTATAATAAAGAGGTTTCAGCTGGGAAATTTGAAAGACCATTGTAAGATAGAGGTTTTCTTCTGGTAAGACCAAGCCAACATGTTATAGAATTAGTAAGTAGAATTTAGACCCAGAGCCAAGAAGAGCTATGGTGTTTGTTGATTCAGATTTTAGTTATTAAATTGAATTTTTACTCATGAAAGGGAGAGGAGAGTTACACTGCATTGGGTAGATAAACATGTTCAACAGGCCTGAAAAACATGAAGGGCATAAACAGAGCAACTTCTATACATCTGTATTGGAATGTAAAACTGTAATAACCTCGGGTCCTTTCAAAGACTTTCCTCAGGGGCATGGAGTGCAAGTAGCATCAGGAGATTCTAGCACTGCATTGCTGTTTTATAATCACATAGTCTTGCTTGCACGTGGTCCTGCTTTTGTCTCCTCATGGTCTCAACTTCTGATGTATTTTGAGCTACCTGCTGTTGTAGTGTGTGTCATTCGAGATACCTGTGACATCTACATCAAACAAACCATGAGAAATGCAGGATTGTAGTTCATGTATGTACAAGTTTCTAACTCCAGTTGGGGAAGGTAGACAAGGAAATATTGTCTGAAGAAGTCTGGGTTGATCTGAAAGTTTCCTGTGAATGTCTGAAATGTGATTTTGAAATGTTGTAAGTTTTTGAATGCAGATACAGTGGTACCTGGAAAATAGGAAACACTTTGGAAACTTTTTTCCTGAAGACTGTTGTTCTGAAAGTGTACAAAATACAAATCTGGAGTCCCTGCAGAATAAATGAAAGTGTGGAGTTAATATTTTGCTGTTAAAACCAGAAAAGATTAGTCAATGTTACTTGACTTGAAAAACAACCATAAAACAATTTTCAGTAACTGCTAACGATTACTTTAGTCAATTGAAATACAAGAAGTACTTTCAATAGGAAAATTATTCCATGTAACTATGGATTTGCAAATATACTGGCCTCATTTGCATATCATAATAGATTAATTAGCATGTCTCAGGATCATATTATTACCCTCAGCTAGATAGGATGAAGTTAAAACCTGGTTGAGCATGCCATAAGCATTAAACTTAGCTGGCGTTTAGCTGCTTCAGTCAGACACACACAGAGGGAATCAGGACTTTTGCATTTCTGTACTTGTTCTTCTAAATTCTCATTTCAAGGATTAATCAGAGGTATCCTGAGTTTTAAATAAATGGATCTCTATTTCCTGTTCATGATTTCAGTTTTAAATCCTGGGTATAATCTGTCCATCAGTGTCGTAATAATCACTTCAGGACTGTTTGCACAGAATTTGCAGATCTCATTGTCACTAGTGTACAGGCACTCAGTTTTCAGTAGATCAAACCAATAGTAAACAACTTCATGTTTAGGGGTGGGGAGATTTTTCACATATTTCCAATTAGCTGTTTTGCAGAAAAAAAAGAAAGGGGTATAATAATGAAGAATCCATTAGTCCAAGTACCTCATACTTCATGTGCCCTGTATGAAGGGGCACATTTGTATGAATATAAAGCCAAGTATCCAGAGGGCTGTGGGGGAAAAGAAGAGGCATGCACTTTCCTGTAGGCTTTTATCCAGCATCATTGTGAAAAGTCTCAACCCATGAAGCTCTAGTTACTTCCCTGGGACTCTTTCCAACAACTAATACAGAGAGTTTTTTCCTGATATTCATTCTGGAAATAATTTTCTATACAGCTTGGTGTAAGAGAATCCAATTAGACAGGACAGTCTTTTCAGTGCTGACCTTGAAATAAAATCCTACATTGGGAAGAGTTTAATATGTGACAGACCAGAAGAATAGCTTCCCTTTCTGGACAGAAATCCCTACAACAGCTTTTCATCAAGTTCCCAGACTATACCAAGCTAGAGAACAAATAAGTCTGATTTTTGGTTGTTGCTATTATCTCAATTATTAGTGTCAGAATTGCTAAATACTTTACCTGGGTAGCATTCAAAATGCAGAACAGATAGCTGAAAACAAGACTTGTTTTTTCATTACTTATTAACATGAGGTAGCCTATTGTCCAGGTGATTCCGAGCACTACCACTATAGCGATAGTGCTAATCATATTTCTCATTAATGAATCCTTTTTGCTCCTAGAAACACACACATGAAAAAAGTTATTCAATCTTTCTCTATAACATTTAATATCTTTTTGAGCTTTAAACTTTCTGTTTATTCAGGGCTCTATTGAAAAGATATTGAGTTTCAATGAGCAGAGAACATGCACTTCCCTACATTTGTGTGATGCTATCATCCAGAAAAGAAATCTAGACAAATGAATGTAACCAAATTTATCAGAATAACCTGTGTTTGGAATGTAGCTTGGATGTATCTTTTCTTAAGAAAAAAAAGTGAGGTTTACCAAGACAACAAGAAGCATTGAAAATTAGCATGTTAGCTATTAAAAGCTTTTTAGAATATTTGTAACTTCAGTCCAAATGTGATTAATTTTCAATATAAGAGTAAGCTGCCAGTGAAGTATGAATATCCAGTTTCTTTCAAGCCTCAAGGGACTCAGTGACAAGGTATTTTGGTTGCTCCAACCATGAAAATTGTATGTAAAGGAATGAAAAAATGGTACAAAGTTTTGTTGAACAGATCGGTTCCATGGGATTTATAAAAATTAAAACGATCTCCTTTAAATTAATACAGTGTACACTGCAGAGTTTGTGACGTAGCATGTGGCAATACATGGAGTGTTGATGCAAAACTCAAACTGTATCTGCTTCAATCTGCTGGACAGCTGGGCTGGTGTTCATCCCAGTTCAGCCCAGCTGGGCTGTGCTGAGAAATTCATAATTCTTGTTTGGCTGAACCCAGTTCTGCTCTCACTTTTATGGATTTAAATTGGGAATAACTATCATTGAAGTAAAGCTGAGTGACACTATAACCAAAGAAATAGAGCCAAAAGCCTGAAATGTTTTCACTGATATACACTTGAACAAAGTCTGACCCATTTCAACAATGGAATTCATCTTCTGCCTACTTAAAGTATACATTTCTTTCAAAGATTTTGTCAAAAATCCAAGTCTGTGGCAAGAAAGTCAGAGCTGGTGACAAGAGACTGAGGAATATATTTGCTGAAAGATATGAAGAGTCCTGTGCCATCTCACCTTGTCAAAAACTTGTTCTTCTTCCATATCACAGCAATACTGATCTTGATGAAGATGTTGATGTTAAACAGGAGTATGAATGCTACTGGCAAGAGGAATGACCACAACATGGGCTTTTGCACACTGAAATTCTGATTTTGGTCCAGTGCTGCAAGCCAGCAACTTTTTAATAAAGAGAGGTAATTTCAAAAGATAGGTTAGACACCTTATTCAGAATACCAAAACAAAACAAAATAATATTCCACTTTTCATTGTGAAAGACCTCGTAGTGCTTTCCAGGCCTTGTTAACTTAGCTCTGAGCAGCAGCCTTGAGAAATGAGGGCTTTCAATCATGCTTCTCTTTCTCTGGGGAATGCAAAACTACACAGATAAAAAGGGGCAATATAGCTAACCAAATACACATCTGGTCACCATATGCAAGTTATCTTTAGCATATGTTTTGTAATGGAGCTAAAGAGTAATTGGGGAGACCTAACAGACAAAGTTGTAACAAAAACAGGGACAGCTTCAGGAGCACAGAGTTATCCTGAAATAACATTTCTTTTGCATTTTCAGATAATCTCAAATTAGAAGTCCACACTCCAGAAAGGAGTACCATAACATGGCCACCATCTGGGAGGGGGTTTGTGTTTACATTTTCTGAAGACATCTACCTTCATTCTGTATCATCCACTATCACCAAGGTATGTTGTAAGTCTGATGTCCTGCTTTGCTATGCAGGCACTGAAATGAATACCAATACCAAGAGCACAGGGCAAATAGGGATATAGTTATTTTGGCCAAATTTTAAATAACTGTGAGGATTAAGTTTAGGTACTAAAATGTAATTATGCAGTTAAATGAAGGTCTTGAATTTGAGTTAGGCTAAGTGTGTCTGCAGTTTGCATTTAAAGTCATAGGGGATCTTGCAGAAGGGTTCAAAGCAGATGTAGATCCAGTACCCTAAATCCTTAATGAGAAGAAAATGTGTTTCTCAATAGTGAATGTCTAGTTTGAGTGAAGAGTTTTATGTCTTTTAAGTACTTAGATATACAAAACAGTACACCAACAATAAGTCTAGAATTATGTCAATAATAAGCCATCACAAAAGGTGTGGGATAACAAGTGTTGTAGTAATGTGTAAACTTACAATTCTTCCTGTCGGTAGTTTAGAGCTTTTCCTTCTCTGTATGTGGCTCCAAGAGTTACTGTAACTACTAAGGCAGGGATTCCTAATTAACAAGAGAGACATTAGCAATTTATTTTTTGGTTGCATAGGCACACTTCCCTTCAACACAAGTAACTTCTTGCCTCTAAATCCCATAGATTTTAAGAGCTGTGCTTCACCTGCCTTACACTAAGTTAAATGAGTTTTCTGTAGCCTAGAGGAAAGCACTATTTTTCCAAGGACAGCTCATGTTCACGACTTGCTGATTTTTGCTGTTAAAGAGCTTCCACACAGCTTCCTTAGGCAACACCAGTGAGGAAAGAGCAGCCTCCTTCCAGTGCTGTAGCTGTCTCCCTCATTACAGCTGTGCAATCCTACCCTCTGGTCAGTGGTGAGAAACTAATTTAAAAAAATATTGCACCAAGCACCATTATATTTCATACCAGATTGATGCAGTGTAACTTTTGCCCTGCAGGAAGCATGGCTAAGTGGGCTCACCTCCTCAATGCCTTTGCTTCATTTCTTGTCTTCCATGTTTCCTGCCTACATATTCACTAGGCAGGATGTCTTATGGGAAGGAACCTCATGCACAGTTTTTATCTGGGTAATAACCATGCTTCTTAAGGTCTGTTCCTTCTTGATCGCTGAGATCTTCCAGACTGCCAAGTATTTACTGTGCTCTCAAAGCAGATCCAAAAAGCAGTGAGTCAGAATCATGCTGGTTTGGACACGTGTAAGTAGTCACAGGACACAGTGAAGAACCTAACACTGTGCTGTCATGCAAATATACATGGAGCACAGTGACACATAGCCAGGCAGCTTTTGCTGGGAATTTTGTGGCTTGCACATGCAGTCCAAATTCTAAATGTTTTGGAGGAATTGTCTGCACAAATGCTAAACATAATAATGAAACAATCAGTATCAAATCCTGCTTGGTGGGTGCCATCAGAAACAACACATCACATGAGCTAAACACACACCACGGAAAAGAAAGGTGTTTCTGTACACTGTATTACAAGAGTTTCTGGAAGGAGGCTGAGATTTTTGCTTTACCTTGTGGGCAACTCTCTGCATTTATCAGTTCTCTGTGTAGCTCCCTTTCAGCTTGCAGTGTTGCTGCTAACTGCTGCACTGACTTAAGAATGTGCTCTTTGCTTATTTATAAATAATATGTAACAAATAATGCCAGTCACTCTTTTTTTTTGAATGTATGCAAGGCTCTGGCTGAGGTCATGGGGAATCTCAGAGGTATCTAAAATAAGAATTTAAGTCCACATATGTAATCACCGTATCTGAAAGATTTTTTACTTCATTGATAGATTGTTGAATGCCTTGACTACTGTGACCATTTCTCCTTCACACAACAGACCTGTGTTGCTGTGGCAGTGACCAAGCTATCAGTATCAGTGCTGTATCAGGACAGTGAGAACAAGCTCAGTTCATGCCAGTAGTGTGAGCAGTAACAAGAGATTATTAAATCACGTGGTGCTGAACCAGGGAGAGACACTGATTCTAATTGCTCTCTACTGATCTCCTATCTTTACAATTCTCCCTGAATGTACTCTGTACTGTAAAAGTTGCCATATATACGACTTTAAATCTTACCCCATCCGATTGCTGACATGGTTATGAGGAAGTGTCCAGGAAGGGGCTTCATGGCTCTAAGCAGCATTAAGTACAACTGTGCCGAATTGAGTGCTGACCACATAAAAGTTGCCAACAAAAAATAGTGCAGTAGGGCAGCCACAGCTGTACACCAGGAGTCTGCAGGAGGATCTACCATGTCAGATGTGAGTAAGGTGTTACTGGCAGTATCATAGGGCAGGTATTGCTTGTAGGAGCTGATGGTATCGCTGCTGTGATTCCTGGCATTTTGGTTTTCAATTCCAGAGATGAAGATGATGTTAAAAATGAGCATAGAGAAACAGAGACTCACTAACATCCATGTTACAGATGATTTTCGAGTTTTTCTATTGGTAGGAATATGTTTAAGAGAAAAAAAAATAAGAGCAAAATAGGAAAAATTGTAAAATATTTCCTCATTTCCATTTATACTAAAAACAAGCTAGAGAGTACAGTCTTTAACACAGACAGAAAGCAAACCAGTAATTTGTTTGCAGAAATACACCATCATTACTCTCAGACAACTTACCAAATGCATCAGTTTTGTCTGATTTCAACTAGAACAGACAATACCCAGCACCTTTTAGGACTGGGACTTGTCTACCTGCAGTTTGGGATGCATTTTCTTTTTTCTGCTCAGCTCTTTTTGGAATCCTTTTCTTCAGTGTTAAGAAGTGAAGTAGCATAAGACAGGTATTTCTAAACACTCTCCAAAGTACAAGAGAATAATAAACCTTCACTTCCAAACTTTGCCTTATAAATAAATACATTTAAAAGACAGAGTCTGAAAGAATCTAAAATCTTTAAAACATTGGGCTTGATGGACTTGCTCCAAATCTACATCAGAGCAACCAGGATGAGATACATGCATTCACTTATGATAACTACAGCTCTGTTGGCATGACTTTGCTCCTTGTCCAGAGGGGAATCACAGGACACCATTAATCACAGGCATGTCCATCAAGGGAATTTGCTGCATTTATATTTGTATTAAGTCACTCCCAATAAAACAGTAGCACAAGCAGCTACTGGCTAGAAGATCACTGATTAGACATCGTAATACCAGGGTACACAGGAAAATAAAAATGACATCATGCTGGTGGTGCAATACTGTTACACAGTTTTCAAGCCTAGTATTAAGTGAGATAGTGAACTGAAAAGCTCGAAGTGTATTATGGACCCATGTAGCAATAATTCAGTGCTGGGTCTGTATTGTCAACTGCCTGGCCAGGGTAGTAACAGAGATGTCAACAAGGCAGCAGGCAGCAACAGAAATGGCAGACTGCCCTTATCCCATGGAGGTGGGGCAAATGTCACTCTGGGACATTACCCAGGTGTTAGACATGATGATGTGAGCCCATGGTAAAAGGGTCAACCCTTGACTTGATCCTCAGTTATAGCTGGTCAAAGTGCTGCAAAACTTTTTTCTTGTCAGCAGCTATGCCCTGTGGTTCCTATGAAAAGCTTGGCCTGTTACCACACTGAGCTCTTCCATGCTCTACCATTACTTTTCAAAGCTCACATATTCAAAGGTGTATTTAATGAATAATAATTACATATATTTCCTCATGTTGAAAGATTAACATTAACAAAAATGGAAAAGTTTCATCTAGTGAGTGGCATGACTGAGATATCTCATGTTTGCAGTTTAACCAGTAAGCCACACTTACTTCCCAAGACATGCTAAGTGATTTAGCTATTTTTAAAAATATTATTTGCTAATTAAAAAGATTGCAGTATGTTCTAAACTGTCTACTCTCATCATTTTCCTCAAACTATATACACACCAAAATATTGTAACTTAGGGTAAAATACCTGCAGTTTGCATCTTACCTTGTGAATATTTGAAACAAAATGGTAATAACCAGACCAACCACAGACAATCCAACACCAATGTAAGAAATATACTCCAAAGGCTTTGCATATTTGTATTTGATCTGAAAAGCCTAGAAAACAAATTGTATCAGTTCCATCAGATGAGAAGAGATAAATTTCTTTCTAAAGTTTGTGTTTCTAATTGCACATAGAAACAAAAATGTTTTGGTAAAGTTATGACTGTTGCTAGCCACTGCCAGAATTTTCAGATCATGCAAAATTATTCTGGACCTCAAAACTAGATAAGTTTGTGAAGAATGCCAAAAAGGGGTTTAACAATATCAATCAAATTTTCAGAAAATAGCAGATTAAATTATTCCTAGAAAAATGCCATATGTCACAAGCCCAAAAAAGCAGCTTTAACTTTTCATACTGGTGAGCATTTTGAATTTTGGCTTCTAGGTCTAAGGTGTTACAAAGAATTGCAAATTGAAACCAGTCTTTGTTTGTACAGTGACAGCAAAGCAGCAAGGAAATGTAAATATCTTTGGTGAAACAGAAAATACTGTCATTGCATAATCAGATGGGAATCTTGTCTAGAATCCAGTCACTTTGTGCAGTAAGGACATGCATAAGATAAAGGGAAATACTGAAACAAGTAAGTAGTACACATATGGAAATGCTGTTCTATGAAGACAGAGTAAAAAGAAACTCTGAAATCCTGGCACTGCTGATGTTAGTGACCACAGATATGTGATTTTATCCAGGGTGTGTTTTGTTTAGAGAAGCTGAAATAAATATCGAAAGAATAGCAAATGTCAGACAGTTAGTCATTTCTAAATAGTCTTGTTAGTACAATAGGGCGATGTATCAACCTTTATGGCTTAATATTTACAGAGCAATTGCATTTTATAAACATATATGCTAAGGAAGTAGTTAGTCTTTTGAGTTATTTGACCAGCACAAGGCAGTGCCACAGCTAGCCCAGGTTCCAGGCTCCTCTACTGTTCATCTGGGGGCACTTTAGACCTTAGACCCTAACCCTAACCCTAACCCTAACCCTAACTCATTTAATAACCAGCTGCAGCAATGGAGGTGCAGAGCTGGAGGCTACAACAGCTGACCAAGGGAAATAAATTAAGATAGCCCTTCCCTGTTACTCGGGTGCACAGACAATTTGTGTCAGAGGAAGCCAGGACTTACCAATACATTTAGCTATCCAGCATCTTGGGCTCAACTTGCCTGTTCCAATTTGCCAAATCTGCCACAGGTCAGAAACAAGTACACGGGGACATTTTAAGCTCCTGTGCCTTCTAGCTCAGTGTGCCATGCCCTTATATATTGATATGCTTGTCTTACAGTTAAAAAAAACCCAACATAAAAAAAATAAACCCAGGCTCTTCCCACTCAAGAAAGGACAATCTCCTACCATCAGCACAGCAAAATTAGTGGTGTGATTACATCTGCATCTCAAGAATTGGTCTCTTCCTTTGGCACACCCAGTGGTGCTCCAGTCATTGATGGTGTAGTCCCAAAAGACACAGGCATGATCACGCAGCTGCAGTTCAGATGTGTTGTACTATGGATTGGAGAAAAAGTGGCTACAGAAACATAGAGAGATACACACCAGCAAAGAGCATGTACTGACAGTGACTTGATTTTGAAAGGGGAGTTGACACCTACTAAGTGATATGTGGGTTTCCAGTAAACTTTATGAAGTAGATATATGCAACAGCATAATTTGGCGTTTTGAACTTACTTGATGTGCCTTTCTCAGTCAACATTGCCAGTTAAATTACCTATTTCTCTGAATTATTCAGGTAATTAGGATTCGGATTCCCATTGACGAAGCATTAAACACTGCCAGTTGAATTCTGAGTAAGCCAAACAGGAGTTTTCAGCTATTAGTAGCATTATATTAGTGCCAACCGGAGCTGAATCCACAATGCAATAGGAAGCAAACAATGATAAAAGCTGTGAACCATCCCTACCCCTCCTGCAGCACAGTGGTGCTCATGCAGTCATACATCAAACAGCATGCAGTCATTTTCAGACAACATACAATTGCAGGGTACTGCAACTAGAATTACTTTTAATGAGCAACAAGCAGCTTGAAGTGCAAATAAGAAGAGAACACAACTAATCACAGTATTAGGTAGTTCAATGAAAAACAAGGAATAAAAGGAGGAGTAAAAAAATCAATTGTAAGTTTGTTTCAGTGATTTCCTTAGAAATGACATGTTTCCTAGATGAATTAACTGTGTGGATCCATGGTGATGATTACTGATCTGTCATAAGAATGTATTTGACCTTAAGAGCTTTGTTAAATATTGTAGGAAGAAGCCAACTACTGTTCTCAGGAGAAACCATGCCAAACATGAATACATATTATCTAAAAGTTTGGGGGTTTTGGCAAATGGACACTCACATAGAGCATTTTCTGCAAGAAAGCAGTAACATCTGGAATCAGTTCCTGGCACAGGAAGTCAAAACAAAGCACACAATGGTTTTAACTGGAAGCAGAAGTTAAAAGATAGTATAAAAAATGAACATTCCCAACATTGGTAGGTGTATTGGGCTATGCCAGTACTGTTGACTTTTTCTTGTTTTCCAAAATTTTGGCAGTCATCTGGAGAGAAAAACTGTCCTCCATGGACCCAAGTTTTTTCATTCTTGATATAGGACGAATGTACACTAGGACAAATCCCCTCCAGTATACCTATAACTTTTTATGGAATACAGTTTTGCTTACAAATGTCCTAGTTTAGCAGTACTGACTCGGTAATATTGGGTTAATACAGAAGTTGAAAAATGTTTTCTATGCCACATTATCCAAATACCTTTCGTTTATGTCACTCATACATCCCACAAACTCTGTAACTTGCTTATTGCCAAAAATCAAGGCAGTATTCCAAAAATCTCTGCTAGAGCCTCTTCCACTGAGTCCTAAAGACATATGGTAGGGCAAGGGCAGCCTCAGGTTCAAACTGAACACAGCGTTTCCTACAGAGTCTTACCTTGGGACTGAAGGCTATTTCAACACTGCTGGTTGTTCCACCATCAATGTTACCAGAGATGATTTGTTTAGAGAATGTGTTGTGACTCTGATAAATCCTTGACTGGAAGAGTTTGTCATTTTGATACAGGACAAATCCAACTCTTGCATTGTCTGATGAACCTTCACAAGGCAGAGAAAAGTAGGTATAAATAGCAGATATCAGAGAAGTTGGTACTTTTGAAGAAGCCTATGCTATGCTGTTTCACACATTCAGAATTTACAGGAGATTTTTGTTTAGGTGTTTATTTAGAATTATATATTTTTTTAAGTAGTAGAGAAGAGCTGCTCTTCCCATGAATCTCAACAGACATCTTCAAATTTTGATGAGATGGAGTGTGAAAATAATTATTACCTTTTTCTTGTTATAATTTCTGGGGGAAAATAGTGGTAAATGAGGAAAATAATATCCTAAATCCCAGTATATATATGCACTCTAAATAGTCAGGCTTTTAATAACTCTAAATAAGAAATAGTCACACCAGGGACATTTACAGTTAGTGGGAAGTCAGAGTGAAAGGTTGGCTGGACTTTTAATTTCAGATCCAACTTTTGGACTATGTTTCTTTTGCACACTTTAGCAAATTAGAGAAAGTTCATCCAAGTGATCTAAACCACTAATCTTAATTGTTGCTTAAGTGATGAAGCAAAAATCCTGGATTATATAATGGGTTCTGTTACTGATTTTATACTTTTTATTAAAGATCGAGAGAGACTGATTTGATCGGTCTCTGATTTGATTGAGGTCAATGTAACATTACCTCTACAAAATATCACAAATGTGCACTTAATATGGAAGAAATCTGTTAGGGTTTTTTATAAAAAAGCTGTGCATTCAATCTAGCTGTCTTGAGGGAAGTGTTATGATATACAGGCATTATGAAAAAGTCTTTAATTCTATGATCACACTATTTTTCCACCGGACTGTTGTCTGAAACAATGAACAGAAAGCACAGTGACCAGTTGATAATCTATTCAGTGATTTTTTTATTGTCAATGCAGGGGTGTGTGAGGCTGCAATTTCTCTCTTTGAGTGTTTTCTAACGCTGGTGAGAGGACTGAATTATTCATTTTCCTATGGGCTTGCATTCAAATGATGTTTGGCATTACGATGTCTAAGTGCTCCACTAACTTCATCTTCATTATACTGTTGTGCTGGGATGTCTCAATGTTACTGACACTATATGGAGAGACCTAGGACAAGTCTGCTGGTTTCAGGTGCCCAGTCTGAAACTCTTGTGATATCATAGAAATACACATGTTCAAAGCTAAGCTCCCTCACAGCCACTAGATTCTGAAGGAAATGAAACAGAGGAAATATAACCTTTTTTTTTTTTTTCCCTCCTAGTCAACACCAATTTATCCTTTGTACACTGCAAAGTGTAAGTAATGAACATCTGGAAAAATCCCACATGACTGTGCCATTAATGACTAATCCAATTTGTAGGTGTTAGGATGTGTATGTCCTGGCTGACACCTGACAGTAGTAGCAATTTTAGTCTAAATGGTTGATGTCTTCAGATTTCAAGCAAGGTAAGAATGTACTAGTTCTTGATTATGATGTTTGTAAAGGTATGGTCAGAGATTCATTACACTCTCAGTTTTGGAAAACAAAACAAATGAAAAAGTCCCAAACACCAAATAAATAAGATTATCCAACTCATTTGACATGTGCATTTCTTGTACCACCATATGCCATCAGCATGCATAAAATGTAATTGCTTATATTGTCTAAAGGTTTTTTCCCCAAGGATGTTTAGTGAATAGTCATTCAGATTTTTCCCAGGTGCAGTTTTCAAAAGGAAAAAAAAACTTACTATTTCTTAATATGTTGAACAGTATCTGAACTTCAGTACTGAGGTCACCAATAAGCCCAGGGACATTTTCCTGTATTTCTAGTTTTCTTGAGCAATAATCTCCCAGTGCTGTGTCTGCAAAAATTAGCAGTGTATGTGTTAGGATTTATGGTTCATACTACTGAATCCAGGTAAATACAACAACACACAGGACTTACTTCTCTGTGCCAAAAATAGAATTGTAGAGGAGCTTAATTTCAGTGGAGCAGACTGGACTGCAATGTTGGGCTGTGAGATGTTAGCAGTCAAAGAAAATTCCTCCATTGTTTTTGTGAGGCTGCATCAAAATAATGAGTGGGGAAAAAAGTTATCATTATTTGTTAATATACAGCTACAGGTTCAGTTTCTGAGCTTCCTCTCTGATTTGGTTCTCCAGTGGGAAGTGCTCCTCATTTCCTATCCACATACTTTCTCCAAAGAAGAAGAATCCAGCAATGTTTATGTTGGTGTAAATCTACTGACTCAATGACATTGCGTATTGGAGTTGAGCAGTAAAAATATTTTTACTTGTTCATGAACCACTTTCATCCTGAAACAGAAAGGAAATTGCAACTGACTACATCTAAAGAAAATGGCAAAAGCTAAAGTTACCTTGTTGTAACATTGACAAGATTATTATGGACAAATTCTGTTTCGTTGGCATCCAAGAGTTGACTCACTGTAGCCATTACTGCCACAGATGTCTGAAACAAGCAGAAAAAAGGGGCAATATTCAAATACAATTGAAAAAAATCACACCATAGGCTACATAGTGGATAGGCAAAGTAAGAACACCTAATAAGCATTACCTGAAAGTGCACACAACAGTGTAACAAAGTACAGGAAGCCATTCAAGAGAGCACAAACTTTGCAGCAATGGGTTCATAAATGCTACACTTTCATTCATGGTTATTATTGATTTAAGCATCAAATGATGCTCATACTAGAATTTCAGATATATGCAAGTCTAAACAGCTGATAAGAAATAAATTTACACTTGGCTCTGAGAATTGACCCAGCAATGATTCCACAAGTATGCACTTGAGGCTGCTTAAATAACTCTGCTCAGTGGCAAAATGATGCATTTGTTTGTGGTGTTACGTATAGTTAAGAGGAAGGACAGTGTCTCTTCTGCTGGTAGAGGGGTGACAGAATTGATATCCCAAATATGAAGCCACACCAGTCTTATTTTAGTCCTAACAAGTCTTACCTGAAAGTCTTCTGAAACATTTGGCTTTTTCAGAATCTGCACTGCGATGTTTGCAGCAGCAGCAATGTTCTGTGTGGTCAGTTGGTTTGGCATGGAGGTGAGGATTTGAGTGTTACTTGCAATAGCTGAAACTTTGCTGCAGTCTGCAGTTTCAACCTGTGAGGAAAATGCCATTCAACAGAAAGAAAATGAGGAAAGGAAAAAGAGTCATTACTTATATAACATTCTCACATCAAAAACACCCTCAAAAATCCCCAAGTAATTGATGGTCTAAAATGTTTATGTTCATTTCAAGTATATGGTGTTTGAAAATTCTCCCTAGGGAATGATTTCATGAGCTCATGGAGTAGCTTAGGTTGGAGGGGAGCGCTGGACATCCCTAGCCCAGCAGGGCTGGCTGAGACCAGGCTGCTCAGGGTCTCACTTTGACTATCCACAAACTCCCTCAGAAAATTGCTTGTGTTTGACCAGCACGAAGGAGAATTTTTTCTTTTATCTCATTGGAATTTCCCATATTGCCACTTGCCTCTGTGGCCACTCATCCTAAAATGCACCCCTTGAAGAACAGTCTGGCCCTATTGTTCTCCACACTTTGCTGTGAAGTAGCTGTAGAGAGCAGCAGGACGTCCCCTTTGTGTTGAGGTCATTGAGATTCTGAGTCTATAAACTTCTGTACACCTTTCATTATTCCTTAAATAACTAGGACAGGAATTTTTGAGAAGCTGTCAGAGGAGCTTGAGAAATGTCATCTGGAATAATCATGCCTCTCAACACAGTGCTTAAAACCTGCACTGAGGACATTATCCTCACTTCAGTACATTGTACATTCAGTACACTGTCAACTTGGAATAAATGTAGAAAAAAAATCTAAATAAAATATTCTAGTGCTGGAGATAATAATAATAATTGCTATAAGCACTGGTTGGGTCCAGTGTGAGTTAGTACTTAATGGGTAGGGCAGAAATGTCTATAGCATCTTAAGGGTCTAAACACACAAAAAAAGATGATGAGGTATTAGCTAGATGATATATGAAGGTATAGCTAGATAACAATAAGATTTAAAGAGACAGAAAATCTGCTAATCACCAGGTCAAGTCATCTGTTTCCTTATCCTGTCAATCAATAGCTTAACTGAATAGCTTCAATAGCTGAATTGTTCTCAAATGGTTTATGTTGGGAAGCTACCAAAATCAAGATTAATTCAATCATGCAGCATTGATTTATAAAGCTTGAAATGGTAGGAAACAAAGGTGAGCATGTTGCATAGGAAGGAAGGATATTTGCATTTATAATTACTTTAGATGATATTATTTGGCTTGAAAATATCTGCAGATGCATCACAAACAGTACATCATGAACTCCTGTTTTCACTATTCTTACTTCTGACTTTTAGCACCACCTTGGATTCAAAGTAAATATTTCTATTTAAAAGGAATCGAGCTCTGAATCACTAGCATGACCTCCTCCTCCCATTCCCTAGCTCCCCAAGCTGCCCTCAGCTCACTAGATGGCAGCCCAATATCACAGCTTCCAACAAACCCCCACATTACTGATGGCAGCAGAATAACCTTATATTGTACATTACTGGCATTACAAACAGCTACTGTTAATATTATGTCTTACTTTGAACCATTTAGTGAAGGCTATGGACTGGGAAAATGTAATACTGAGTTCAAGGATTTCCCAGCAAAGGATCCAAGAGGGTGAATTATTGGGTTGAAGGTACAGTAGTCAAGCAAAAATGCATGAGGAAAGAGACCACTGTTCTTTAAAGGGACTGTAGCCAGTTTCTTTTTTGTTTCTTTTTCTTCAATTGGGACTAGTGAAAAGGATATGAAACACCGAAGCAGAAAAAGAGAAGGATCCACTGTGATGTGCTTAGTCATGTTCAGCTCTCCATGTTTTGCAGATGTGGCAGAGCTAAGCCCTAAAGCAAGTTCTTAGGGGTTTATGGATTTTATCCAAAAAAGGTTTGTCCTTCATACACGAGTTAGAATTTGAACTCTTGAGGGACAGAAATGTTCCATTCATATTCAGCTGATGATAGGACTAAAGGGAAAGGCTTCACTCTTAATCCTCCTTAACATGTTGGTGTCAGGATCACTTTGTTACCTCATGCCAGTGTTCTCCAAATTCCTAGCATTTTCTCACTGATTTGGTATCCTGGGTCAACATCACCTCCATTCAGAGGCATTTGCTGTGAATTGGGAACCTGACTGAGGAGATTGCAGGCCGGTTAAGAAATATGAAATGGGATGCTGTGTTCAGGCAAACCCAAGAAAAATAAAATAATCACTGTGAGAAATTCATGCCTCTTGCAAAGCAGACACGTGTCAATAATGCCACTGAAAAATGCTTTGGTCATTTATTTTGCTTTCTGCAAAGTTTTAAGAAACATAAAACATATATATTTCCTGCCTCAATTTCCTATCCCTCTTCTTTTATTGTTTTCCCCTTGGGATGATACAGAATCTCAGACACTTTAAACAGTCATTTAAGATTACCTTTGATGCTAGGGAGTCCAGATTTTCATTGCAATTCAGAATTTGAGAGGGCTTTAAAGCAGGTGTTATCTCTTCTCTGGAGCACATCTGGATTGCTATAGAAGCATTCCCTGTAATTTTGTAAAAGCAGAAAGATACACATTTAGAACAGAAGCACTCACACGTGTACATGACCTCATTGGGACTTACAATCACACTGTGAGTGTGACACCCTATCCACAGTTATCTTCTCTTTGCTTCTAAAAGTTTGTCTTTCAGTTATGCAGGTGAGCATCAATTATTTAACTATGCATTTTACATTCATATACACAGTCTTGTTAGAGTGGCTGACATTATTTATGTCAAAATCAGATAGGTTTAATTATGCTAGAGATGCAGAAACATCTCATAAACTTTTCATCAAGTCCTGAAAATCCCAGTTTATATGTCACGAAAGAAGTGCAAAGGGCATGTGGAGCAGCTGTGCAATATTTACTCCACTACAAGGTCTCTGAAAGCTGAGAGAGTTCATGGAACCACAGCTGATGGAAAGCATCCCGAATCCCAATGCTAAATAGTAGGATATAAACAGGATGTTCTTCTATCAAAAGGCTGTTCAGGAGCAGATATTAACTGACTCTTAGTCCAGGTCCAGACAGGCATGGATCTGATTCAGCATGTGTCCCTTAAATTCTCTGCATTGGGGGTAGAAAGATGTGTGGTAAAGTTTGTGCTCCTGCTCCCTGAGCTATGCAGCTCTGGCTGCAAACACAGATCTCTTATCTGGTCTAATAATTCAACATCTTTCACAAACTTTACATATACTTTTGGGAACTAGAAGCAAAAGGAAAGTAACACATACCATTCACAGTGTCAGGTTCACATTTTTCTTTGCAGTTGCTGTATTTACCTGCTATAATCTGTTCAAAAGTAAGGAGGTTTATATCGCTATCCGAAATTTTCACTGTGCTGGTACTGTTGTCACAAAAATTAACTGCACAGAAGGAAAAATATAACATATATCCAGATGAGATATTTTTAGCATGAGGATCAGTTTTCAAAAATAAAATAGTATTGAGACAATAGAAGCTCATTGAGTCTTTTTCCCTAAATGAAATAAAAGCAGTTAGGTAAATCTTGTCTAAATCCAAGCTGCCACAAGTGATATTTATTAAGTCAGTGAAATTCTGGAAGCCCATGCTTTTTGCTCTCTCTCCTATTTTCACTGCTTTGGTCCTAGAAAATTTGTAAAATATTATAAAGCTTCATTTTCAGTGTCTTAGTACCCAGGCAGAAATCAGATTTGGTAACCTAATTCCACAGAATACAGAGGAGGCAAAAATACACATTTGCTTTAAATGGGGTTTGGACAATTAATGAGTAACAGTCCTTTGGTGACTCTGAACCATGATGGGTCTGATGTGGCTTCTGGTGTGGGAAGTTGATGCCTTGTGACCTGCTGGAATGGACAGGTTGACCACCCCAAGCCCCACAACTTGGCTAAGCACCTGATACTGGCAAAGGTATGATGATGAGCTCAGTGGGCACATGGCCTGACCTGATACAGCTGTCTATTACATTCTCATGTTGTACCATACTACTATAACTTAACACAAATTTACCTCACAAAGCTGCAAACTGGGAAAATTATTGCAGCACAAAGGCAGAAAAATTTTGCTACCTCTTACGATTTGTAACATCCTGGTTTTTGCTAACTTTTGCTAATTCAGATCACATTTCAACTGACTGTGTCCCATTAGCAGGATTGACTCAAAGAAGTGTTTGGATCCTGAGGGGGGACTAAGGACACCTGAGCAGGATTGACTCAAAGAAGTGTTTGGGTTCTGAGGGGGGCTAAGGACACCTGAGTGTTCTCCATGTTCTGGCACAGGCTTCCTTGCCAAGCCACATAACTTTCTGTGGGTCTTGTTTTCTGTAGTGTCTCAGTTTCCCATGATACAAGGATACTTTACTTCTACAGAAATGATTATGAACAAATAAGGAGACATGGCACCGCAAAGATGAGGTTTGCCTTATAGCACCACAGCTGAACCTTGCCTGCTAGGAGGTGGTTAGCAGGACAAGGTGTGGAAGGAACCTGTGGAGGACATCTAGGCCAAAGAGTCTCCACATCCTCACTAGGAGACATGCTTCAGTGACATGGTACCTTTTTAAACCTAAGCATTTCTCTTCATTTTCAATCTCAGCAATTTAAACTGCAGTTTATGACTTCTGCCTCTTGCTTTACCTTCTGGCATTGCTGAGGAGGTTTGGATTTAATGGTCTTTGCAACTCCCACTCAGCTGGAGGCTGCTATTAGTTTTGCCCTCAGCCTCCTCTTCAGCACAGCTCCCTCAAATGCTCTCTGCAGGCCACCTGTCCACGGCCCCTCACTGTCCTCACTGCATCCTGCTGGAACATCTCCAGTTTCTCTAAGTCTGTTTAACTAGGGTTGCCAGTGGCAAAACTAAGTACATATTTCCCAGTGGTGCCTCATCAGTGCCAGGAAGGACAAGGGTAATCATGTCCATCAGCCTGTCTCGTTCCACGTAACAGCTGCTCTTCTGCCTTGTTTGCACTGAACCACACACTGTTGGCTCATATAGAACTTGGCATCCACTGTCACTCCCAGGTAATATCCCACAGGGCTGCTCTGCAGCCAGCAAGTTCCTGGTCTGTACCGATGTCCCTGGCATGGAGATCAGCACTTATTCTTGTTGGACACTGAGATTTATGTTGGAATGATCTTCAGGTTTCTCAAGTTCTGCATCGAAGCTCTGCCATTAACTATGTCAGCAATGCCTCTGCCCCACTCCAGGTTTAGTATTGTCAGCATATTTGCTGAGAGGACATCCTGTGTCTTGGTCCAGGTCTTTGATGAAGACATTAAATGATAATGGCCAGCAAATATCACTTATCCACCAGCAAGTTACTCTACTTTTACAATATTCCAATCAAGTCTATTGCTCCCCTTTGTGCTTGTCTGTTGAGTTAATTTTCAACCCAGCTAATGGTTCATTCACCCAACCTGTACATCCTTACCTACCAAAATAATGCTACATTCACCCAACCTGTACATCCTTACCTCCCAAAAAAGAATGCTGAGATGGTGTCAAAGGCATATCTAAAATCAAAGTGTATTACATGTTACTCTTCTGTTGTCTACATACACAGTTATTTCATATGACAGACAGTCAAATTGGTCAGGCATGATTTGCTCTGTGTTAAACCATGCTGTTCCTGATTATCTTCTTGTCTTTCATATGCATGGAAATAAACCCCAAGAGGACATGCTCAATAATGCTTTTAGGGCCTGAGGTAAGCCTGACTGGCTCACAGTTCTCCCAGACCTCCTCTTGCCTTTTTTGAAGGTGGGCATAACATTGACCTTTTTCCAGTTCTCTGTGGCCTCATTTCATCACCATAGGTGACAGCAGCCCCACAGTGACATCAGCCAGGTCTTTCAGCTGTCTTGAATTAATCCTCTCTAGACCCATGGATTTGAATATTTTTGTGGTGATCCTGCCTTCCATATGACAGATGAAAGCCAAGAATAAATTGCTATGACAACTATGCACATATGCATATGAACACATACACATCCATACATGAGCATCTATCCAAGTTTATTTTTTTGTCTTCTAGTTATTCAGGCCTTGACCTGAAAGTGGTTTGGGCTGGTTTATATATGTATCATACTACTTGGGTTTGGACTTTAAAAAGAGAGTCCATCTGGAATAAAATTGTTTGGTGCTTTTTTTCCCCCGATGTAAAGCTCAAATAATTGAAAATATTCTAACTCCACTAGAATTGCTTCAGTTTTAAAAATAAATTGAAAAAGCAAACTAACAAAACACAACAAATAACAAGTAAGAAAAAAATGGGCCCTTTGTCATGATCCGTGAAAGAGACTAACCATGACACAATGTACAAAAGCAATGAATTATGAGCCAAGTGGAAATTTTTCATTGCCGTTGGAACAAAAGTAATTGGATTATAAAAGTTGTCTACCCTGTATGCCCTGCTCTCTCCTACTGGCAATAAACCAGGTCACCTCCTCTATACCCCAAACACCCAACTGCACTTTCTTCCAGCTTCCTCTTCTCCTTTAGCACTATGATGCTGTACACTTTATGCTCCATCATGTCTGAGCACCTGTCACCTCTGTGTCCTAGATCCATCTTTAGGTTCCAAATACATAAAATATGCATATTTATTTTGTTAGCTGGTGGAGTGGAGACAAATGACATAGGTAGTTTAGAGCTATGCATCTTAGTGACTAGACTGGATTGACTGGCTGTGTGGCCTCTACCCCCTCACTGCTGGAATAAGTTTCCTTGCCTTTTTCTCTGTGAGATATTTATAGGGTTGGTCTTCTTTACCCAACTAATGATATGTGCAAAACTCATAAGATCTCAAGACCTTTAAGATCTGTAACCATCTAGTGAATTTAGTTGAAACTGGTCAGCAAGTTAAAGTTGCCAAGAAGGTGGAACAACAGACAGATGGGCAGTATAAACATTCCTAAGGAAAACAGAGTAAAATTCAAGTTTTGAAATTGCAATAATGTTTGTTATTATTAAAATGTAATTATTCCTGCCCAAACATTCTTACCTCATGTATTTATCATTTAAGGCAATTCACAGCAAATAAAATACAGAATACTAGAGCAGTGAACATAGGGAATTACAGAATCATCATAATGGTTTGTTTCCAGTGCTGAAATCCCAGACATCATTATTTTATTTAAGCCAACTTGCCTGAAACATTTTGCACAAATGTTCCAATCAGTCATGATTCAATCTATCATTGTCTGTTGGATATGCCACCCATCCTGTCATAAGGGAAATGACATGGGAGACCTGAAGTTTCCATCCACCTAGCAGTCTTCACCAAGCATATTTTCCTGGATAAACTACAGATATTTTGACAAACTTTTGACCA